CTTGAGATTGTTTCCATGAAACCTACTAAAAACTAAATGTTAGCTTTGTAAGCACTTGGATAATGATAATTATACAGTATATCTCCTAGTATTCTTGTGAAATAGGTAGAAATAGTCACCTGATTGCTTATGGTGACTAGACACTTTGCTACTAAATGATTGAATAATTCCTTGGTCTCTCTTGGTCTGGAAGGATAAAAATGATTGCTGCTGCAGTAGCACGTCCTTACCACCAGAGGGTGCAATATCAACAATCCTTGTGGAAAAGAAATTAAATACAAGGATTCTCCAGTTAGGGTTCTAAGCCAAGATCTACAATCACAAACCTTAAACGCTTCTCTTAAATGTCTATGCCGTGGCTGCCTCACTTTTAAAATGAAAACTGTAAGAGTATCAATCTCATCAAGTGGTTTTACAGATTAAATGAGATGATATATATGATACCCAACTGCCTGCCACATATTGAATGGTAAATGAATAAAAGTAGCAATTGTTTCTCATCAGGTTAAGGATGTTTGTGCAAACCAAAATGTTGTTCGGATGGCAACATAAATCTTGGATTGATATAAAACTATAAGGTAAAATAAAAGCACTATCTTTTTTTGTGTGTTTGAGATTATGTTGTTTGTATCTATAACTGTTGCACATTTTATTCTTTTAAGGATCAGATTGGGAATAGATTCATTCCCATTAAAGATCTAGTCAACCTGTTTCTGTCTCTCAAGGGCTTGTCACTTGATGGTTATAAAGTTGAACAGTTTATATTACTTTCATATTTGATTATGTGCCTATGTTGAATTTCTAATCACTTGCTCAGCTGTATTAAAATTAAAAAATAATAAATAAATAAATAAATTAGAGTCACCCTTGAGTAACATAATTCAGCTCAATTCTCCCACAATTTATTTCCTCTATCCTTGCCTTAGTTTTATCTCACCAACCAAATGACTTAAGTTAATTTAAATCCACTCCTCTTCTCCAACCAGGAGGTCACTCGTGTAGACAGATTGCATGGCAGTTTAAGAATACTAGACCAAGAGTGAAGAGATTTGGCTTCTAGCCCTGGTTCTATTAATTCACTGCATGAATTTGGACAAGTCACTTTGCCTTTTTGGATATCTTACAAGATAATGCCTTTAGATGAGAAGATCTCAAAGGTCCTTTCTAGCTGTCACATTCTATGATTTTCTATCAGAATCTTAATATCTTAGAGTTGAAAGGACATTAAATGGCATCTTGTCAAATCTTCCTACTGAATGAAATCTGCACTTTCATTTAAGCCATATAATTTTTATTAAGATTACTTATGAAAATTTTAACAGAACAAAGACTGAAGTTAGTAGACTATTAGTTGCCATGCATGCAGATAGAAATCTATGACTTAAAATGAATAGTTCTATTGTATTTGGGAGCAACTCTGAGAGTAAAGAAAGTGTATGTTTTTTCATTGGTCTACCTCAAAAAAGTGTGCCAAAGGGAATGACTAACTCCTTTAAATATACCATTTTGTAAAGTGAGTCAAGTACCATATAATGCCTCTCAGACACTGTAACACATACAGAAAAAAATTTTTTTAGTCTCTGGAATACTCAGAGTTATGACATTATAACCATAATAATGATCCTATGTGGAATATGGAAATGGTCTCTTGCCAGCTTTATATGTTTCTAATGATAGATTTTCTTAGAACATGATAATAAAAGGATTCACATGTGGCATCATTTTTTTTCTATGACGATATCTCAAAATAATTTTGCTTCTTGGGATAATTCTTGGTCATTTTCAATTCAGTGATATCAGACTTTGATTCAAAAGAAAGGAAGAAAGAAAAAGCAAGCAAGAAAGCAAGAAAGAAAGAAAGAAAGGCAGTAGTACACAGGGTGTATGTAGTCATTAACAAAGAGTAAATGAAAAAAAAAAAGAATGGACCACAGTATCTCAGCCATTTGAGTATTAACTTCCATATTTCCTAACCCCTTGTTCCATTATGTCTTGAATGTGAAAGTGTCATAGTTTATTTATAGTAATAAATAGTAATTATACACTTGCTTTTGTTCCTTTTCCCAGATGCACTTACTCTGGCCTGCCTCTGAGGTCAGCTTTTGGTGAAGTTGTGTTTCTGCCTTTGTGTGATCCAGAAGTGGGAATTAATTTTTGAGTTCTCCCACTTAACACTATGGTTACTGCTGTTGTGAAAATACATCATTAAGATGGTGCTAAATCATTCTTTTTTTTTTTTAAATTTTTTTTTTCAACGTTTATTTATTTTTGGGACAGAGAGAGACAGAGCATGAACGGGGGAGGGGCAGAGAGAGAGGGAGACACAGAATCGGAAACAGGCTCCAGGCTCTGAGCCATCAGCCCAGAGCCCGACGCGGGGCTCGAACTCACGGACCGCGAGATCGTGACCTGGCTGAAGTCGGACGCTTAACCGACTGCGCCACCCAGGCGCCCCGGTGCTAAATCATTCTTGATAGCAATGGTGAGCAGAAATGAATGACCCTACTGACAACCAGCTTATCCCAATTGAGTTCAACTAGCAAAAATGAATGAATGTTTGTTGCCATTGACATGATGCATCCTGGGGATTGTAACCCTAGCTTGATTTCATTCATTCATCTACCAGATTAACCTTTATTGAGTATGTACTACTTTCGGGATTTCATTAGGTAAGATCCCATTGTGTTCATCAAGGATATAACAAGGGTAGACAAAACTGTACTGGTTAAACCAAATAATACTTGAAATAAAATATAAAATAGTGACCTTGTAATTAAAAAAATATATAAGCATATTTAATGCTACCATTGTGTTGGAAATATCAACTCTTTTGACTGTGGAGTCTACCTAAAAAAAGTGAGAGGAGAGATAATATTTCTGTGGGTTTTGAAGAGTAAGAAAGACATGACACTCCTTCTAGAGGGAGAATACTGTACTGCCCAATGTGTTCGAGGAAAGGAGTAGGTGGCGTCGATGGAGTGCATGTTGGTGGAGGGAATGCACGTGGGGTCGTGTGGAGAGGGATTGGGACAGGGCAAAGGTGGCCTGCAAATGGTCTTTAACATAGACAGACCTCAGGGCACCTGGGTGGCTCAGTCGTTAAGCATCTGACTTCAGCTCAAGTCATGATCTTGCGGTCTGTGGGTTCGAGTCCAGTGTCAGGCTCTGTGCTGATAGCTCAGAGCCTGGAACCTGCTTCGGATTCTGTGTCCCCCTCTCTCTCTGCCCCTCCCCTACTCATGCTCCGTCTCTCTCTCTCAAAAATGAATAAACATTAAACATTAAAAAAAAAAAAAAACTTACACGGGCTGTTCTTGGGAAGGCGGGGTGGTTTCAGCCTTTAAATGAGGGTCTCATTTGCCAAAACATTAACTCCAAGTCACAGAAATTGTTTTCCAAAATGGCTTAAGTAAGTGAAACTTAGTAGCTCATATTTACTAAAGTCCAGAGACAGTCTGGGCTCTACTCCTTGACCTTGTAATTAAAAAAATATATAAGCATATTTAATGCTACCATTGTGTTGGAAACATCAACTCTTTTGACTATGGAGTCTACCTAAAAAAAAGTGAGAGGAGAGATAATATTTCTGTGGGTTTTGAAGAGTAATTTAATTACATGGTGTAATTTTCGGGCCGCATACAAGATGAATGCACGTGATAGGACAAGGTCTAGAGGAAGAGATGGTTGCTCTGCAAAACTCCACAAGAACTTTAACCGGAAGAACCTGTCCACATCACTCCTTGTTTCTCATTGGCGTCAGTCAGAGCACGTGCTCCATCCTGAACCAATCACTTGCAGGGAAGATTGGGGTGCCCCCTTGTACTGGCCAGATTCCATCCTGAAAGTGGGAGCATAGCAACGTTCTTTCGAAGGACTGACTAGGCTCAGATAAGCAGGGATACATAAACAAAGCACAGGTCTTGTGGGGGGAGGGAAAAGAACGCCTGTGAGGGCGATGGCAACGAGTACCCAGATCCACTTACACATGTTTTCTTCCTACTTACGTATTTTCAAATGTAGATGACTGTGTTTGCCCAAACAAGAGAGTTTAGCAGACTACCTGGGTATCACATCCAGATCTAAGCCCAAGGTATCAAGAGGTCCAATCTTCCTGCTCACTGAATATTATCTATTCATGATAGGGCTACATTTCCAGGAGCTCCCAGGGACTTCTTTGAAAACAGATGGTTGTCCAGTGACCAAGGGAGGAGAGAGTTAAGCACCAAGTTGAGAAAGAACTCTTAGAAAGTGAATTAATTTTATTATAATAAAATGTATACCTGTTTAGTTTCATTCATACTTAAGATGTTTGTTTCATCATACCCAGTTACTGCTGTTAGTATAATATCAGGACCTCAAAATTCCATTATTGCTTGTAAAAGTGGGTGAAAGGAGCTCATGAAAAGTGTTTTGACATTTCCTCATCTGATGCAGCCAGGATAATACACTCGAAGCATCACTGCTGTCTCTGGAACTTTTCTTCTTGGATTAGACCCATTGGTAGTTTAACCAAAGTAAGGTACCTAATAAGACCGAAATGATTATAAGCGGAAGAGTTTAGAATAACCTCCAGCCCAAGCTGTGATTCCACTTGCCAAAAATTCCTGGGAACGAGCAATGTGTTGTCAGAGAATTCTGCCTACCCGGGAACCTGTTTCTTAAATTAAACATTTCTTTTTGGAGAAAACATAGTAGGTTTGAAATTCCCAATGGATATCTTTTTTTTTAATTAACATTGACTTATGATCCAATATCAAATTACATGAGTATATTTGAAGGGAAAAAAAAAAAGACCACTTGGTCCATTTTGAACAAAAGAAGTACAAAGGAAAATAGAAGAAAAATAGAAGGAAAAAAGAATAGGTATTCTATGAGATAAATGGTTTCACATTAATAGGATTTTTTTTAATTATCACTTTTCTAGCTAGTAGAATATAGACTCTAGCCAGATAATTGCAGAGACTGACTTTGAAGGGCAGTGAAGTCCAGGTCCAGAATCCTTAACAAGTTGGTTGGTGGTAGAAACCAGATCTACAGGTTGGTTGGCAATAGGAAGTTTGGCTGCTCTTAGAAGCCAGGTAGGTAGGGCAGTAGACGCTGGACCCATAGCCCAGGGAAGGGAACCCATAGACTCCATAACCCAGGGATCCAAAGCCCTGGAATTCACAGCCCAGGGAGTAGGAACTTCTAGGTCCATACCCCAGGCAGTAGCCTCTGATGGATCCACAGTCCAGAGATCCAGTGTAAATTGACCTGCAGGGACTACAGAGCACAGAGGTCCTTGGGCAGGTCTGGCAGGGGCTGGACACCACGCAGGACGTCCGGCAGCTGGTGGGCTCGCAGCAGGTCTCCTGACAGCCGCTGTAGAGGGAGGAGCCCAGCTGGCAGGTGCTGGGAGAGCAGAGGTCAGTGCGGTAGACCAGGTTGCTGGGGGAAGAAGAGCGACAGGAGGAGCTTGGGTAGCGCAGGTAGCCCCCAAGGGAGCGGGAGGAGAAGTTTCCAGAACAGCAGCTGTAGGTCATGTTGGCAGGAGATGGGAGTTCAGCTGAGTTACAGTGAGAAGATACTGTGATATCTCCCAGGCATGTTTATATGCATATATATCCCCTCACTGCACTGGGTATGATGCAGACCCTTGCCATTCTTGTGCATGTCTTGTCATGAAAATAACTAATTATCCTAGGCTATAATTATAACTGAACACATTCATGTGTTCTTAACTGCTGTTTAATTATTTTGATTTATAGAAGGCACTCGTCGCTTTTTTTTTTTTTTTTCTGGAAATAAGGTGTGGTTTGCCTTCAAAGATATTTGTCATGATGCAGATAGTGCCCTCCCTTCTTCACGAGCTTGACTGTGGGCATTTTGAGCGTGAATGTATAACTTGTTACCACCAATGCACTCCTAACAGTCACCCACACCCCCCTCCCAAATATTTATGTATGTTTTATTGAGCATTTACCATGCGTAAAACATTGAAAATTGTGGCATCATCTAATCCTTGCAACAACCTTATGAGATAGGAATTGTCACTAATTTAGTGACCCACGTGTGCCTTTCTTCAAAGCCAGAAGGAACCACAATGGTATGCTAACAACTTGAGAAGCTTGTCTTTTTCACTTGGAGTATCATGTGAGCAATGAATGCCCACGTGAAAAAATAACATTTCAGTGTGATAACATTTGCATTTTATCTGATGGGCCTCCGTATGGAGTCTTACCTCTTTTATGAAATCCCTAAATGCCGCCACTGAAGGAACAACTTCTTAATCATTTTAGTTCTGTTTTCTCTTATGCAAAGTTACCATGGAGATGGTTGTTTCAAACTGCCTTCTATTTGTCCTCTCATTTAGCTTATCATCAACAAGCAACTCATGTTTTATCCAGTATGGAGTTATTGGATTCTTTTTCCATGTGAGGCAGAGAATTCTTTGGCAAACACTTAGCCTATCGCTGAGAATAATTGCTAAAAACTGATATTCTTTGAGTGACTTGACTACCGATGAAGCGCATTTGCAAAAACTTGAATTTTTAATAGTGTGCTAACCTTTGCCAACTCAGTTGGGAGTGAGAAATGAGACACCTCGGAGAGTGATTCATTTCACTCCCTGCTGAGCTTCTCTTTTGCTCATCGTTCTAGAAAGACAAAGAAGCATAAAACTTACCTTCAGACCAAGTAGTTAAAATCATCCTTATGACTATAAAAAAAAATCAATGGTATAAAGAAAAGGCCTGGAATTAGAGATGTCTTTTTTCCCCCACTTACGATAATATCCAACTTCTGCCTGCAAGCATCTTTTAGAAATTGGAGACAAAAAGCTATTTATGTAATTTGATCTTTCTGTTTGTTTTGCAGGTGATTTGTTTTCTAATCTCCTATAGTATTTGCTTATCTGGCACCAATGGAAGAGTTTGCTGGTTGTTTTGCTTACAAATTTCTGCCGAATGTTGTGCTCACTTCTCTAAATCCTTTTCATTCCTTAAAGGCAAAATCAAATCCCTCCTATCTGACAGGTGTTCATCTCAGCTGAGCTTTGACTCTTCTGACATCAGAATCTTAGTATGTGATAAGCTATCCATTTGGTACACACACACACACACACACACACACACACACACAGAGAAGGAATTGCAAGGGATGCCTTTTGATATGGGTCATGCAGAATGAGTTAGACTTCAGCCTTCTGAATTTGCAGAACAGCCACATGCAGGGAAATACCTCAGGGTCAGCAGCAGTAGGGCTTAGTCTTCTTTGCCCCAGCGACTGGCACGTGGTGAGTACTCCTGAGTTATTTCTGAGCTGAAGGAATATATCAAATCATTAACTTTTTATTTTTGTACTTATCCAAAATAAATATACGCATATGAACTAATTGTTTTTTTTTCTTTTAAAACTTATTTTTATGAAAATAAAAAATAAGTCTCTTTCATGATTGAATATAATCCCCAAGTATAAATTCAGTGCGGGAAGTGACCCAAAATATCTATCCCCCACCCCCACTCTACACACAGCTGGCCTTGGGGCCTTGATTAATTATTATTTCTTTTCTGTTTCAAACCGCTTCATTCTCATCCATCCATTCAAATGGTTCTGCTTTCTCAGCCTTATGACAAGGTCAACTTTTCTCCCATTCAAAAATGTCACACAGTGTCATTTCCTTCATGACGATATAGCTCTCCTAATTTGTTAAAGATAGAATTCTCTAAGAAATTGTGCCTTCAGTCTGTCAATGATCTTACTTCTTTTTTTCTTTTCAATAACCATAGTTTCTCTCTCCAGCTTACCACTCTTCCGAAATCTCACTGGCATCGCCAGCAGTGGCTCTATGCTGCTAAATGCAATGGACATTTTGGGGCGATCTTATGTGAACCTTTAATCACATTCAACACAAGTGACTGACTGTGCCCTTGATCTTGAAACATGTTCATCTATGTAGTTCCATAACGTCACACTCCTCATTTTCTAACTGCCACCTAATTCTCTGTAACCTTAGTTGGGTTCCTGTACATAACAGTACCTGAGGCGTGGTGCTCACCTCTTGACACATGCTGCCTATAGAGGAGGCACGTCCCCATCATGGCTTAAAATACTATCCATATTCTGTGCCATTCAAATGTATATTTTCATACACGCCTCTTTTTAATTCTAGGCTCCGATATCCAATTACTTACCAGACATTTCAATTTGGAGGTTTCATAAGGGCGTCAAACGTTCATGTGTGCGAGATTGAACTTTTGCTCTTCCCTACGGAGAATGAAATATTTCTTTTCTTATCTGGGTAAGCAGCGTTTCCATCCATCTAGTTGCTTAACTCAAAATGCTTAGGATCCTCCTCATATATGCAATCCTTCCCCAAAGCGACCCGTTCTGTCTTCCAAATTCATCATAAACCCATCTAGTCCTGCCTTTTAGTAGAGGGTTTGTCAACCTCATCATCAGTGACATTTTCGGATGTGTAATTCTTAGTTGTGGGAACTGTCCTGTGCATTGTAAGGCAGGACTGTTGGCCTCCATCCACTAGAGGCCAGTAGCACACCTCTTCCTCCCAACACTCTCTCTCTCTCTCTCTCTCTCACACACACACACACACACACACACTCATTAGGACAATTAAAAATGTCTCCAAAACTTGCATGGGGGAGAAAGCAGTTCTGGGAAAGAACACCTGCTCGAGTTCAAGGTGGTCTCCTTTCTTGGCGGGCTGTGAAAGAGTTCCAGCGTGGTCCGCCTCATCTTCAGAAAACGTCTCCTCCAATCTCTTCTCCCTATCCCTGCCTGAAAAATCTTAAGGTGAAAAGCCGGTCGTATCACTCTCTTGATTAAAACTTTCTCATTGTTTTCGAATACATGTGCAATAAAACACAAATTGTCCACGTGACTTGCGAGACTGCACAGTCGTACCCCTGCCCATGGCTCTAACTTCATTTTCACACTGTACCCTTTCCCTCTTGCACCATTAAACTCTCTCCAGCTTTCTCCTACCGCAAGGACACGCTATTTTCCCTGCCTGCGTGTTCTTCCTTCACCTGGATAATTAAGATAATTAAGCTTTTCCTCACTTTATAACCACTGGATCCCAGGATAAATTAGGCTTTCCTATTATGATATCTATTACCTTGTACTTAATTCTATCATCTTTATAATATACACATACACACACACACACACACACACATATATATACTTTTTTAAATATGAAATTTATTGTCACATGGGGGAGGGGAAGGAAAACAAAAGAGGTTAGAGAGGGAGGGAGCCAAAACATAAGAAACTCTTAAAAACTGAGAACAAACTGAGGGTTTGGGGGGTGAGAGGGGAGGGTGGGTGATGGGTATTGAGGAGGGACCCTGTTGGGATGAGCACTGGGTGTTGTATGGAAACCAATTTGACAATATAATATATTTTTAAATTGCCCTGTAGACTAGAGCAGCTAGTCTGCCCTGTAGAATAAAGCTAGTCCATGGAGTTTGTTACTCTCTGCCATGAGATAAATGGTGTATGCCAACAGGTAAATCAATGCATCACTTCCTTCATTAAGAACATTAGGAAGTCTTGCATGATTAAAATTGTTAGCCTCACTAAATCATAGGTTTGGTAACATCACTGATTTACCGTGGTCTATGACTCATTTTTTTGAGTGGCACATCTCTGACTATAATCTCTGGTGAGGGGTGGGTGGTGGGGGAAGCAGACAATAATTCTACTCTTTCTTGTTCAGCACTGAATCCTCTGCTCAAGAACGATCAAAGTTGTATAGTTGTTTTTCTTTTTTTTTAATGTTTATTTATTTTTTGAGAGACAAAGAGACAGAGCACGAGTGGGGGACGAGCAGATAGAGAAACACAGAATCCAAAGCAAGCTCCAGGCTCCCAGCTGTCGGCATAGAATCCGACGTGGGGCTCAAACTCACAAACTGTGAGATCATGACCTGAGCCGAAGTTGGACGCTTAACCAACTAAGCCACCCAGGTGCCCGTGTCTAGTTCCTTAATGGATAAATTAGGAAATGGATGGTTTTATCACCACCTAAATATCTCCTATCTCATTTTGTCTTTAGACCTCCGAACTTTCCCTTGTTCTGCCTATCCCCCTGGATGCTTCACAAAAACAGCAAAACCAGCAGAAGTTTAACTGCCTTCATAAACAGAGTCTCCCGGCTCAGATCTGCTTCTGTGCCTTTTCACCCACCTAAATTATAGTACACCATCTACGCAACTCTGAAAATGGGATGTCCAGGAGACATCTAGAACCGCCCCCCCACCCCGGCCTGCTTCCTCACTTCCCATCTCCCATCTTGGATCAGCATGTTTTGCTACTTTTTTTAATCTCTGAAACATATTAGAATACTTTGCTTTCCTTTCTTGCTGTGTCTCAGCTTTCCTATCTTTGAGACCGCAGGTGGTTCCTCAGTGTGCCCCCAATCCTCTGGGCCTACCTGTCTCAACTCTGTATCCTGTGCATTTTTTCAGAGTGTGCTTTCAAAAGTCTATGTTGACCTCTGTAAACTTGAATTCATATCTCTA